AGTCTGATGGAGGAGACACATCCCTGGCCTGGGAGCCCCCAGTCTGGTGGAGGAGACACGTCCCTGGCCTGGGAGCCCCGAGTCTGACGGAGGAGACATGTCCCTGGCTCTGGGATGCCCCACTCTGTGGGGGAGACACAAATCCCACACCTAGAAGTGGGTGTGGAATTAGGACCCCAGCACATCCTAGTGGAGATCATCCTTATTTCAGTTTGAGAGATGAAAGCCACCATTGGATGGCAGTAATGTTGTCTCGTGTTTCCCTCCAGGAGAAAGGGTGACACACGAGGCCCATTCCCTGGGATGTGTGAGTGTGGACAGGATTGCAGGACCCCCCTGATTCTGTTTCATCTGCTGGGGCAGTATGCGCCTACCATCAACCTGTCTCCCAACATGGCAGAAGAATGAGAAGGTGTGGTAGAGCCGACTCTCCCCACCGGGTACAGGTTATCAGTTTGATGAAAGAGGCAAGAATCTGGCTCAGGAGTCCCAGGGGAGAGGGAGGAGATATGTGGGCCCTGGACCCAGGACTATAGGGGAGGCCCAGCCCCAGCACACTCACGGGCCACCTGCAGCTCCAGCTCCAGCGTGTCGGTCTTGCCCTGCAGCGTCACGGTCTTGAGCATGTATCGGCCGGCATCAGTGAGGTTCAGCTTCTGCACCAGCAGCGAGCAGTTGGCAAAGCCCACCTCCCGGCCGGTGTGTGCTGGGCCCGCGATCCAGTTCCCAGATGGCAGCTGGCTCAGCAGCCGGTTGGGCTCAGAGGCCGGCCCTCGGTACCAGGCGTAGACCAGCAGGTCCCGGGGGTAGCCCTGGACTGTCAGGGTCACGTCCTGGCCCTCCACGGGCTTGGCAGGCACGGGCACGATCATCATGGAGACGGCTGCCGCTGCGGAGAGAGCCAGGCCGGGTCAGCGGGGACTGTGCAGGCTGGGGTGGGTCCCCTCCCCCTGGTTGGTGCAACTGGGACCCCACTGACTGGCACAACCCATGCAGGTGCTGGGGAGGAGACAGAGGACGGAGGGGAGGTGTCCTGGTGGAGGTGTCATGCCTGTCCCAATGGAGCCTGCCCGAGATGTGTCTTTCCTATCACACCAGGAACTTCCAGCCCTTGGGGTGTTTCTGCCATCAAATGGGAAGCCTCTAGAGGGCTGGCTTGTGTCTCCTCCATCAGATTGGAAATTTCCAAATATAGGGGCCATGTCTTCCCTATCAGATTGGAAATTCCACAATATGGAGAATCTCCAGATGGTTGGGAATTGTCTCTTCTGCCAGATCAAGGGATTCCAGAACGTGGGACTGCAACTCCCCTGTTAGATTCTAGAGGGAGCAGGATGCGTCTCCTCCATCGGATAGAAAATCCCTGGGAGGGGGGTGTCTCCTCCATCAGAATGGAAATTACAGATTATTGGGTGGATCTTCTGGGGACCCCCCAAGTTAGCTGAGCATATCTTTCTGATCAGGTTAGAAATTGCTAGAAACTAGGGGCCTGTACTCCCCCATCAGATTGGGAGTACTCGAAAGATTGGACAGTGTCTCCTCCATCAGAGTAAGAATTCTCAGAAAACAAGTCCGTGTCTCCCCATCAGAGTGGGAATTCTGCCCTACCGTCTCCTCCCTCTGACCAGAAGCCCCGTAAACGTGGGTGTCGCGCCTGCTCCATCCCTGCCTGAGAGTCCGTGGGGAGGAGGCACGTGAGGAGGGTGGGTGTGGTTCCCTGGTCTCAGGACATGGCTTAACGGACAGGGACCGTGTCTCCTCCACTGGACCAGTGTCTCCCCCAGCGGGGAGTGGTGGTGTCTCTTTCCTCTGTCTCTCTCCTGGCACCTGCCATGGGGCTTCTGACGCTGCTGGAGGCCCTTGGGGGTCTACGCCCACTCCCTGCCGTACCTGTGCGTGGTGGACACCGACATGTCTGGTTCATACCCTGTCCCTGCCAAGATGGGCCACCAAAGCCCCAGGCGGCAGGCAGGAGGTCCACTTACCTCAGGGGCTGCCACTCCTGCTCAGGGTGGAAGAGTATCCACCCTCAGGATGAGACACAGCCTGTTAGTGTTAGGGAAAGAGGGAGGGAGGGAAAGAGGGAGGGAAGGAGGGACTGTCCCTGCTGTCCCCAGGGGGTGATGGCACTTGGAAGGAACCAAGGTGGAAGGAATGAGGCCTGAGTGCTCAAAGCCACCATCCCTAGGGCATGGACCCATGTCCCCTGAGGATCCCGAACTGCCTCAGTCTGCACTGCCAGCCCCTAGGTCATTTCAGGACAGAGGCATGAAGGCAAGCTTTTCTCATAGACTTTCTGGCCACTGGCCATTGGTGGCGATTCTCCAGTTGTCTTCTATGTGGGGTCACTAAAGCTTGGAAGACTGGGTGGCAGGGATGGGTGTGTGGAGCCCCAAACTTCTGGTGGCTGCACTGACACCCACACCTATATGGTGCCCTCTGCTGCCACCCTACAGTTTGGGACACGTGACCCATCCTCACTGTCTGGCCATTTTATTTCCACTTCACAGGCTGTCTCCTTTTGCATCTGAAGAGGGGGCCACCTCAAGGGCCACGTTGTCCTTGGCCAACAAAGGGGCCAGAAACGCACCACTTTCCAACCCTCTGTTGGGCCCAGGGTAGCCTAGCTGCAACAGTTCAATGTGCCCACCTCTGTCCCCAGGAGCAGTGATGGCGAGGCTGGGACTGACTCACCAGAGAGCTTGACCACCACTGAAGCAGAGCCAGACAGCAGGGTCTTGGGGTTCTTAGCAATGCATGTGTATGTGCCCTCCTGGGCAGCTGCCATGCCACTGATGTTGAGGTGGTCTCGGCCATTCTCCAGGGCCCGCCCGTTGAAGGCCCACACGTACTCGGGCTCTGGGCATGAGCGGGACACGCACCACAGGGTGAGGGACGCGTTGAAGTCAACTTTGATGGTGCAGCCGGTGCGGGTGGTGGAGTCCTGGAGGATGGCCACGCGCTCTGGGCCGACTGTGAGGCAGGAGGAAGAGATGGGGATAGGAGGGGTGGGAGGAGCTGTGCCCGCCCTTTCCTCTTGGGACCATCGCGGCCCCCTGGAGGGAAGGGAGAGCTTGGGGAGCTCAGGCCTTTGCAACCCCACCTCATCTCTAACTTGCTGTAGGATCTTGAGAACGACTTCCCGCCTCTTAGGAGGAGATCTCAGTACCCTGTGAAAAGTGTGTGGGACCAGCACGTTTCAAAGTGGGTTTCAGACCTATACTTCATTAAATAATGAAGAATTTTAAGGGATTTTTCTTCATTTTTTGGGAGTGGTGGTCTGGTTCTTTGAGACAAGGTCTCACTCTGTAGTTCAGGCTGGCCTTGAACTCACTCTGTACCCCAACATGGCCTTGTACTCCCAGTGATCCTCCCACCTCATCCTCCTGAGGGCTGGGATGACAGGCGTGCACCATGCCTGGGGATTTTTTTCTTCTTGCCTGAAAAACCATTCCAAGAGTCTAGAATTCTAAGGCTTCAAGATGCTTCTAGATAGTAGCATTCTAAGATTCTAGAAATCTATGTGGTTAAGATTCTAGACTAAGATTTCAAATAGATCCTAAAGTTCTAAGCATCTCTACTGCTAGTTGCTGGGATTCTCAGAGTTTAGAATGCAGAGCTCTTAGAATCTAGAAATCTCTGGTGCGTAGGGCTCTAGGACTCTAGGTTCTTGTTTTTTCTACACCTTTGCCCTGCTGCACCTCAGGGGTTTGTTTCCCCAGGATTCCATAGGGCAGCAGCTGCCCCTGGGAATGACTTCAAGTTTTGGTTATGACCCCTCCCAGCTCCCCACTATTCCCTTCCTTGCTCCTTTTTGTCCCCCTACTGTTCCTTTTAATGCCAACCATTCCCTTGTGCTTTCTCTGTAGGGACTGCTTTTCACTGGGGGGGGGGTCTACATGGTGTCACAGGTGATGTCAAATTTCCATATTTGGCCTTTCTTAATTTTTTGTCTTTTTGAGACAGGATCTTTCTATCCAGTTCAGGCTGGCCTTGAGCTCACTTTGTAGCTAAGGCTGGTCTCGAATTCAAAATGATCCTCCAGCCTCAGCCTCCTGAGTGCTGGGATTATAGGAGTGCACCACCACACCTGGCCTTCATTTTTATTTGGAGTTTTGGAGAGACAGTCTCATTATATAGTCCAGCCTGGCCTTGAACTCACGATCCTCCAGCATGAGCCTCTCACACGTTGAGTTTATAGTGGCGGCATCACGCCAGGCAGGTCTATAGACCGGCCCTGGGGACTTAAGTGGGAGCGCTGCTTTCTAACCCCAGCCCGTACCTTTGAGTGCCCGCCCCCGGCCTCAGTTTCCCCATCTGCCAGGGTCCGCCCTAGGTATCTGGCGGTGCCAGGAGCACTCACAGTACACGGTCAGGTTGAGGGGCTCGCTGCGACTTGCACTGACCGGGTTCCGCACCTCGCACTGATAGGCCCCCGCCTCCTCCCTGCGCACGCCACGCCGGGTCAGCGTGCGGCCGTCTGGGGACAGGCCGAGGCGAAGGGCCACCGGCAGGGCGTCGCCGTTGAAGAACCAGCGGACCTCCGCGAGGCTGGGGCTACTGCACAGCAGGCGCAGGGTGTCGCGCCTCTCCACCAGCTCCGTGCTGTTGGCCGTCACCGTGGGCTGCGCCAGGATCTCTGTGGGGCAGCAGACAGGGAGAGGGCGCCGGGCACCACCTGCTTGGAGGGCTTGGGGTCCCCAGGAAGGGGCGTGGCCGCCCTGAGACCTCGCCCCCGCACTGCCCGCCGGAGGGGCAGAGAGCGGGTTTAGGAGGCAGCTGTAATCCTGGAAACCATCCTGAAGGAGGTGAACATTTCATTTTTATTTTACTTTTTTTTTTTTCTGATTTGGAATTTTTTTTTCCCCTAGAAGAGGGGTTTAGGAGGGAGGTCTGGTTGGGGCAGGGGTGGCGGGGTGTCTCACCATAGACCTGCATGTGTCCGTAGCCCACCTCGGTCTGCAGCTGCCTGTTGAGAGTCTGCAGGATGTAGGTGCCCGAATGCCCGGGCAGGAGACCCTGGATGTCCAGGCCGCCATCGGGGCGCACAGCCTCCCGCCCTGTGTGGGCTGGGCCGGGGGTCTCGTCACCCGTGCTCACGATGTAGCTGGCCACCAGGTAGGACAGGCTGAGCGTGGGCCCCGCGTACCAGCTGTAGGCCAGCTCTTCCCCAGAGAGCCCGCGGACAAGCAGTGTCACGTTGTCCCCCTCGGCCAGCTGGGCAGGCTCGGGAGTGATGGAGATCTCCGCTGCCACCGCAAGCAGGAATGCGGCTGAGGAAGAGGTGGGGGGGAGGGGAGGTCGGACAGGGCTCAGCCCAGCCGACCAGGATCCGGGCGACGTCCCCACCTGAGGTCAAGTGAGGCAGGATTCACACCCACAGCTCTCTGTCTCCCAACACCTCAGCCACAGAGCCTTCTTGAAAGATCTGCATTTATGTACTGGGGATTGGGCCTGCGAAGCTACCTCTCGGCCTCTGCTAGTTTTTGAGACAAGGTCCTTCAGAGTGGTCTGGGGGGTGAGTTTATATTTGCAGGCCTGCTGCCTCAGCTTCCCAGACTGCTGGGATTACAGGCGTGAGCCACCATGCCTGGCTTGGTGCGGCTCATTGTTTGACCCCATGTCAGACATCAACGGCTCCCCTGGGTCCCAACACCCACGTAGGACTCCTGTCTGTCCTCCAAGCTTGACCCCACTCCAGACAGCAGCCATGGAAGCCCTTTTCCTTCTCAAAGAACAGAGCAGCCCGAACCCAGGAGCTGTGTGGCCATGGCCCTTGTCACGTAAAAGCACTCACAGGCCTGGCCTGGTTTCCGGTGCTTTCCGGGCTGAAGGAATGTGGCTGGCATGAATGGTTCTGACTTAGCACAGGCCCTGCCACTTTCTGGCTGTGTGGTGCTGGCTGGTGATGTCACCTCTCTAAGTCCCAGTTTTCCCATCTGCAAAGTGGGGTGAGGAGTGACGGGTGGGATGTGGACACCCGGACAGCACTTGCCTCAGGCACACAGAGAACCTTCATCAGCGCAGCTTGCAAGGACAGCCAAAGGTCCTGTTAGATTGACCCATTTCACAGAAAAGTAAACTGAGGCTAAGAAGGGGCAGCAGCTGCCCAGAGCTCTGTCCTCAGGGTAGAGGGACAACAGACCAGCACCGGTGATGGTCAAGGCTTCTGTAGTTGCCCTGCATCCCTCTATCCCTCTCTGGTGTCAGTGTGCTGCCCTCCCTCTGCAGCATGCTGGACTCCTGGCTCATACTTTCCCCATCATGGGCTGGGGTTCCCTTCCCTCCCCAAGGCCCGGGGTGCCACCCTTGCTCACCACCAAGGACAAGCCAGCTGCACCCGGTCAGTACCATCTTCCACTGTAGGCCGGGTCTTAGGGACGGGGACACGGGTGCCTGGTGCTCGGAGGCCCTTCCTGGTTGGTGCCTGGCTCCGTCTGCTACTGGACCCAGGAGGGTTTGGTGACTTGGAGCTGGGGGAGATCACCTGAATTTGGAGGGATCGAGTCACCAAGCACCTGGGGCCCCAGTTGGGCACCAGGGTGGGTGTGGCGGGCACCGGCCAGGGGCCACGACCTGGTCAGGCCTCCTGGGGCAGCTGCCTAACCCTCTTTGTGCCAAAGGCCTGGATTTGGTGCTGGAGAAGCAGGTCACCGGGGAGGGGAAGAAGACAGGGAGGATCTTAGGGCATTTGTCCCTGACCGCCCAGGCCAGCAGCCTGGTGAGTTCAGGGGTCACCGGAAAATTGACCTGGAAGTGGTGGCTGCCCAGTCTCCAGCTTGGCACCTCAGGTGCCCACCAGGTGCAACCTCTGCAGCCCAGAAACAACTGCCTGTAGGACCCCCTACTGCATTTGGGGAACCTGAGGCACGTGCGTGGACTCTTACTTGCTCAGTTGCTGGAGTGGGAGGGGATTTGAGCCCAGCTTTGTCTCCAAGAAGCTGGATACTTCTTGGTGGCCTCTTGTGAAGGACCCAAGGCCCACATTCTCTTTTTCCCCTTCTCTTTTATTTTTGGATTTTTGAGACAGGGTTTCACCACGTAGTTCAGACTGGACTTGATCTCACTGTGTAGCCCAGGCTGACCTCGAAGTCTCATCACGGCCTCTTTTCCACCTTTTTCAGGCCTTGATTTCTTCTGTCCCATGGACCTGGTCTGTTCTTTGACCCAAAGCAAAGTTTGGAATCCTGTTGGTGGAACACACCTGTGTCCCAGCATTCAGGAGGTTGAGGCAGGAGGGTTACAGTGAGCTGGAGGCCAGACTGGGCTGCACAGTGAGACCCTGTCCAAACAGTAATAATAGCCACAGCGGCAGCAGCAGTAGTAGGAACAAAGCAGATGTTTGACTTTGGCTAACATGTTTGTGTACTTTCTTTCTTTCTTTTTTTTTTTTTTTGGCAGAACCAGGGATTGAACTCAGACCCTTGCGCTTGCCAGGCAAGTGCTTATTCTACTGAGCCATCTTCCTGGCGCCATTGTGTACTTTCTTAAGTGTGGGTGGGGACAGCCTCTTACCAAATCCCGGTTTATTACCCTGGAAACTAGAGATGGGTGGATCTCACTTCTGGTCGATAGCAGCAGTTGTGAGAAGCTGCAAGGCAGCGTGTTGGCCAGACCGTGAGTGAGGTCTGGCTGGCTCAGCTGGGCACAGTGTAATCGCAGTACTCTGGGAGGCAGAGGCAGGAGGATCAGAAGTTCTGGCCCAGTTGGGAACATAGCAATGTATTATTATTATTTTTTTAATCTTAGTTTTATCGTTTTTTGAGATAGGGTCTTACCTGCAGTTCAGGCTTTGAGCTCTCTCTGTAGCCCAGGCTGGTCTCGCACTTGCGAGATCCTCCTGCCTCAGTCTCCCAAGTGCTGGGATTACAAGTGTGTACTATCACACCTGGCACATAGCAATTTAGCAAGACCATGTGTCCAATATATATGGCTCAGGATATAGCTCAGTGTGAGGGCTCTGGCTTCAAGTCCCAGTACTAGGAAAAAACAAAAGTTTAGGCTGTGGACAGGCTGTACTGTTCCCTGCCTCCCCCCCCCCCCCCCAACCCCCGATTGAACTCAGGCCCTTGCACTTGCCAGGCAAGCATTTATTCCACTGAGCTATCTCCCCAGCTCCCATCCCTGCCTCCCTGACCCGGGGCCTCAGTTTCCTCCCCTGGGAAGTAGGAGTATTAACAGTGCTTTTGGGCCCCACATCTGTGGACTTTGTCTTCATAGATTCAATAAGTCCCAGAGAGGCGTATTCTAAACCAAAGCTGCACCCATGCTGAGCAAACAGAGCCTCTGGCTTCTTGCCACTGTCTCTGAATGACACGGCGCCCACAAAGTTACGTGGCGTCAGTGGAGCTCCTCATGGGGAGGTGATCCGGGCCCCAGGAGGAAGTGCCAAGGATCTGTGGAAATACTGAGCCTTTGAGTGTGTGTTGGGGTGTTTTGAGACAGAGCCTCGCCCTGCAGCCCAGGCTGGCTTCGAACTCTCAGTGTGGCCGGCGGTGCCTGGCGTGAGCCATTCTGAAGAAAGGATCAGGCACCCTGGGGTTTGATCTCCCGAGGTCCTGCTCAGGAGCTCCAGAGTGGGGCTGAAGAATCACAGAGCTGGGTGTACCTGATCTCAGCGCTGGGGGAGGCAGGAGGATCACAAAGTCCACCCCAGAATGACTTAGCGGGACCCTGTCTCAAAATAAAAAAGGACTGGAGGTGTAGCTCGGTGCAGAAGTCCTGGGTTCAAGCCCCAGTGCCACAGAACAAGCCATGCTCAGCTGCATGGCTGTGAAGGTGTGGTCGAAGTGCCTGGCACAGATGACTGCCCAGCTCGCACTCAGCTAGCAGATATTTACTTATTTATTTATTTGGGGGAGCCGGTGAGATAGATCAGCAGCCTAAAGTGCCTGCTTAGGCAAAGCGCAGGGACTGCAGTTCGATCCCTGGCACCACATGCCACGTCAGCCCCAATCCCCATAAAACATTTATTTATTTGGTACAGGGTCTCACTGCGCAGCTCGGACTCGTAATAATCCTCTTCCTGTCTCAGCCTCCCCAGCATGGGAATTACAGGCGTGTACCGCCATGTCCAGTGTCCGTGGCGGGCATGGCGTGCAGTACTGGGAATTGAACTCAGGTCTTTGCGCTTGCCAGGCAGGAGATCAGACCTCTGAGCTATCTCCTGCAGCCCAGCTAGCAGATATTTAATGATCACCTACTACGCACCAGCCCTGGCCTAGGCACTGGGGACATCCCAGGGAAGATGTGTGAAATGAATCCCTGTGGGGGTGGGGTGGGGAGGGTCCTGCCATTCATGGAATCAACAAGGAAAAGGTGAAATCTTTTCTCCCCTACAGGGGTGATGTCTTTCAGAATGTGAAGGGTTATAGGCCTCAGGGGTCCTGACGGTCCTGTTAGTTCCTGACTTTCTGTTAGGCAGGGTCTCACTACATGGCCAAGGCTGGTCTTGAACTCATGACCCTCCTGCCTCAGCCTCCCGAGTGTTGCTTCCCATGTGTCCTGGTGCAGGCTGCTTGGGGCCAGCCCGTCGCTGTATTTCCCTGTGTGGCCTACCTACGTGCACCTTGTCCCAGGCTGCCCTCAGGGCTGAGCTCTGCAGGGATGGAGGGGGGGGCCATTCAGGTGTCTGTGCCCCCCCCCAGCCTCACCTCACCCTACTTTGTCCTGGCAGAGGCCTGGGACAGTGTTCTGGCATCACATGAGTGTCCTGATGTCCCTCGGAGCCTCTCTGTCACTTGTCCCCAGGTGACCTCGGCATCTTCCCAGGTGAGCCTTGGGCCTCTTCAGTGCCCCCCCCATCACTGGGCCCAAGGGACCTGGGCTTGCCAACCCTAAGCCCTCCAGCACAAAGTGCGGCCACTGTGGCACCCAGGGCCTTCGCGTTGAGCGGCTTCCTTGGTCCATTTTTGTTTTTTATAATGAGACAAAATCTTGCTAAGTTGCCCAGGCTATGCTTGAACTTCTAATACTCCTGCCTCAGCTTCCTGAGTAAGTGGGATGGCAGGCATGCATCATTCTTTTCGTGAGTGTGTGTAGGGGGACAGGGTCTTGCTGTGTATCCCCGGTTGGCCTTGAACACACAGCTATCCCCCTACCTCAGCCTCCCCAGGGCTAGGATTAACCCGTGTGCAGCAGCACGTCCAAACAGTGGCTGCCTCTTGAAAGGCTTGTCTGTGAACCCCCACCCAGGCCTCTGCCTCCCCCATTGCCTGGGCACCCCCATGTCACACTCCCGATGTCTGTGTGCAGCACACAGCTCTTTCTGAAACAGAAACTGGCCTCTGCACCTGCCCTGCTGAGCCTGCGTTGGAGAAGCCCTGGGCCTGAGGGTCTGCTCCTCCTGGCTTTGCCTTTCCTCCTCCAGGAAGCCTTCCCGGGCTGCCCTTGGGTCTCCTATCCCATTCCAACCACCCTGTGCTCTCCCAAGCCGGGCTCTGTCCTCGTCCCCTCAGTGTGTGATCCGTGAGAGGGCAGGGCCAGGCTGTACCCACAGGGTTCCCAGTGCCTGCCAGCTCAGGGCAGGGGCTCAGAGGGTGTTTGTGCAACCAGACACCAGCGAGCCTGCCGGGGCCAGTGGAGTCCCTGGGGAGGCCGGGTTTCTGGTGCCTTCCTGGGCCAAGTGGCTAGACAGGCTGGGCTGGGAGAGGCTGGGAGCAGAGCCGGGCTTTGTCCCCCAGTGTCACATGCCTGGCACTGTCTGTGCCCTTGCCCTCCCACTGTGACATCCTCACCTGCAGCTCTTGATCATTGGCCTTTGGCCCAGTGGGAGGTGCAATTTCTGAATTTTTTTCCCCCAGTACTGGGGACTGAACCATCAGGGCCTTTGCCCTGAGCTACCCCCTCTCCTCAGCCCACTTAAATTTTATTATTCTGAGGTAAGGTCTCACCAAGGATCCAAGGCTGGTCTCACCCTCGTGGCAATCCTCCTGCCTCAGCCTCCCAGGGTAGCAACTGCAGATGCTCACTGATGCATTTGTGGAGCGCCTCCTGTGTGCTGGCTCTGCTCCTGGCGCTGGGATTCCGGCTGCAAACAGGAGAGACCCAGAGGAGGTGTGAAGCAGCCATAGACACAGGGCAGGTGACAGTGCACCAGGCATCTGTGGGACAAAGAGAAAGCAGGGAGAGCGATGGAGGTGGCTGGGACACAGCTAGCAGTGAGGGTCAGGATCATCCAGCCTGGGAGGCCACACTGGAGTAGGCTGTGGTGAGGAGGTGCATTGAGGTCTAGGGCAAGAGCCGCACGGGCTTGGGAACAGCAGGTGCAAAGGCCCCGGGGCAGGAGTGTGCTGTGGAACACATCTGGGTGAGGCTGGGCCTGAGGAGGGAAGATTCACAGGGCTATTGAGGGGCTCCCATAAGGCCTTG